TGAGGATCAGTTGCATCTGTTCATAACTTTTTTGAGTTTTCCTGCTAACTAACCAACTGATTAAATAAATAACCAACGCTACCAAAGAAATAAGCTCCTTGGCGGAGGTAACAATTATAAAAATAACAAAGAATCTCCGAAAACCAATAAAAAGGATAAATAACTGAGATAGGTAGGACTAAAGTAATTGACAGCTATGTGGATAAGCATATGTGAAGTTTTCTCTATGTGTAAACGTGATGAACCAAAATCACAAAGTCAAAGTAATTTCTTAGCGTCGCGCCATCTCAGCACAATGAGTTAATAGAAAAACATCTTGCGCACTGTATTGATAAATATACTGTGTATGTATATATAAGTAGATGTATGCAATATATGCTGTGAATGTATATATAGGTAGATACATGCAATATATTCTGTATATGTATATATAAGAAGTGCATACATTGATACGTGTATGATAAAAACGTGTTTGTACTTATTAAAATATATGTGAAGGTATTCAGTTTTTTGGTGATTGCTAGCTATTGGTTAATACAAATGAATGTGCTAGACGTCAAAGGTCATATGGCACTACGGTAAAGTAATGTGACGAAAAGGGTAAATTGTGTTAGATGTCAAAGATTGTAGAGCGCTATTGGGTAATATGGTGAAGAGAGGAGAAAGGGTGAAGAGGGGAGAGAGCAAATGGCGCACGGCGGGGATTAGCAAAAGGGGAATGGTTAAGGGCGGAGGGCGATTAGATCAAATGGAGAGTATCTACGTGTCATTCTCTACTGCAAGAGGGCCACTGTGAAACAATTTACGGGTAATAAGGGTAGAAATGGGTGCTGGAGAAGTAGGAGGAGAAACATCTGGGGAATGAGATTAGCGCTCATATTCAGAGACTTTTAGGACCCTTTAGATCAAGGGTTCCCAACCTGGGGGTCAAGACCACAAGGAGGAATACGGGGTGCCAGGGAGCAATTTGAAAATTATGACATCGAATTAAACTGAACTTTATCTCACAGTGCAGCCAACAACAAAAGCGATGGCGCCTTGTCAGACCTGGGCTTGGAGAGATCTCGCCCCTCTTGCCTTGAAAGGTGGCCTACGTTCAAACAACCTGGACATAGTTAGGAAAGGGGGGGGGGTGATTTAGATTCGCTACGCAAAGCAAGGAGTGAGTGTTCGGCTATGTTTCAGTCCCATCTTATCGAGGCCCCCCCCCCCACACCACTCACTCACTCACTCTCCGTCCCCCCTCTCTCTCTCTTACACACTCACACACACACACATACACACTGTGAGAAATATTTGTGGGTGTGAATAATGTATCGTGTCAAAGAGCGCCTCTTGGGCTACTAAACATTAATAAATGGCTTTGGCCGCAAAACTTCGAGGGTAATGGGGTGTAAAGGTATAGGTATCGATTACCTTGTTTTCCTTTTATTTCGTTCGGGTGCCTCCTACGAACCACGACCTCCAGTCGCGTTCATGAATCGCGAAGCACGGTTTGGTTGGGGTCAGCTTGAGTCATCATTATCATTATCACCCAGGAGGCGTCGCCACCGCAGCCCCCAGGGACCTGCCGCCCGGCTCCTCGCCGCCGCACGCCCAGGCCCATCCTTACCATTTTTACTATTAGTGCTTATCATAATGATCATCATTATCATCATCACTGTGATTATGTCATAAGCATAATATTATCATTATTATGATTATCATTGATGATTTTTTCATTATCACTATATAATCAATTCTGTTGTTTGTACGAGTGACAACAGACATTCGTTAGACACGAATAATCGTCCTATTCTTCTAGATCATCTAAGATGAATGAAAGTCCTTCTGTCACCGAGGACTTTGAGCGTCAGGAGAGGCGATGGAATTAGGTAAGGAAGGAGGGAAGAGAAGCTGCTCAGTGGGCGCGTCGGCCGGACAGCCTCTTCATTATGTCGGCCTCCGCCCTGCTCACGTCCTCAGTGAGCCCTACCAGTAGCAAGGGCATGTTTTCAGCCCTCGGCCACAAGAATTGAACGCCATAGTTGCGCTCAATCCATGCGGCCATGCTGCCTTCGGGGCCGAGCACCAGGATGTGCACCTCGCGCCTGATGTGGAGCGGCACGAGGACGTGCTCGGGGCGGAACTTGAGGTTCGCCATGAGCTCGAGCTCGGCGACGGCGGCCCGGGCGTTTTCCTTGAGGCCCGTCACCAGGATCTGGGCGCCGGGCTTGTTCCGCTCAGGGAGCTGGATGTCACCCGTGCCTCTGGGCGACATGACGGATTCGGAATCCGCCCTTGCCGATGGCCTTGCCGATCCGCCCGGGCTCGACGCAGAC